CCCCCCCCCCCCCAAAAAAAAAAAAAAAAAAAAAAACTGAATCTAATTTTTTTAAGTAACAAATTGCATATTTGAATTCATACCACGACCCACTACGTATTGTGTACCACTGTTTTGAAAGGCGCGCTCATCACTGCGCCTCACGGGTCCTGCGATGTGGCGCAATGGCGAAGCGCCCCACATCAAATGCAGTATTGCCTTTTGCATCTCGCAAGTGACTCGTGCTTCAGGCATAGCCACATATAGTGTTATTCTTTAATATTTCAATCGGGTCTTTATACCCGATAACTTATACCCAAAACGCAAAATAAAACCGTTAGGCTTTCTAATAGCCTGATTCAGGAGTTCGTGTCAATATAGTCTTGATTTGACTTTTGATTTGAAAATTTATGCACTTCGCTCTATGTTGGATGTATTAGCATTAGAAATTAAGACCTTATTTTGTGATTCCATAGTATATATTGTTTATCTTGACATATTTTTATGTGAAAATATGAACATGCTCTTGTGTGCTTGATAACCATCTTGAAAATTATATGTGTGGTGTGCGCCTCGCTTCACTTGTGTGCGCGCATCGCATTGCGCCTTGCGCATGTACGTGTAAAGAGACTTTGTGCCCCATATTGCGCCTTGCACTTTGATAACACTGACATGTAGTGTATAACTATGGTAAAATAAATAGCCATTCTTTTTCTAGTACGTGATAGTATATTTAATACTTGAAGGAGTTAAAGGATTTTTGTTGCTAAACTCAAGTTTTATTGTTAAACACTCAGATGATATTTGGGGAGCTTATTTTTTGATCAAAATAGGTATTAAGCTAGCTTTTCCATATCAACATGTTTGGTGACATCAAATAAACTCGCTTTTAAGCCCAGTTTAAACAGTTGATCCCAACTATCAAAAACTAGCTATTAAGCTCATTCTAACTAACCTATGCTTCGACGAGTAAATGACATCCTCCCCCCCCCCCCCCTCCCCTGCAATTATATATGTTTTAAAAATTTATCATAAAAGCCACTAAAAGCTAAGCATAACTTACAAGCTTCAAAAATAAGCCTCCCAAACACCGCAACGTTTCTTTTTCCCCCCATATGACTTAATTGAATATTGGAGATTGATTGGAACTAAGAGGCCTATAATATATATATCTATATATATATATATATATTTAATATATATATAATATTATATATATTATATTATATATATAATATACTATATATATATATAATATATATATATATATATTATATATATATATATATATATATATACATGCTATTTATATTATTTTAAGGCAGATCCATCACATATATCTGTTCCCTCCCTGTATGCAGTGCAGCTAGCTGAGACTTAGCATTACAGATGTCCTGTCATTTTTTCTGAGTTTTGTAGAATATGTATGCTTCGTCTAGCTTATTTATTCTTCTTGGTTTGTGTACATCATACGTGAAATTTGTGTGTTCTTTATTGCAGCTATTTTATCTGGGCATACTTGGTGTGACTTACGGTATCATTGTAAACTCATCTTTCAGATATATTCCTAATTATTATGTTTGTGAATCGCACAGGTAAAATAAAAGACAGTTTGACTTTACTATTTCTTGTAACCATATTTAACTAATTATATTTAACTTAATTTTAATTCAATATCATGCTGCAGATACTTGAGCATATTAGCAATCGGTGTGGGAATTATACTCTTTCTCTTGACTAGCTTCTCTGATCCAGGAACTGTGAATTCTGAAAATGTATCAAATTACCTATCTGCTTATCCTTATGATAAGATCATATATGTGGAAAAGGAATGTCGAACTTGCAAAATTCCAAAGTTCGTGTTACTTTATTAGTCCAATGGTTCTTATTACATCTTGTTTCAGTCTTTTGATCTGACAGAAGTGGCATTTGAATGCAGACCCGCTAGGTCTAAGCATTGCGGAATTTGTGATCGATGCATTGCCCGATTTGACCACCATTGTGGCTGGATGGTAGATTTTCACTGCATAAGTCGATTCATATAAATCAGTGTTTGATTCTCACTTCTATTTGTCAAGTCAATTAAGATGTTAAGATGATTATTGTTACTTCTAATTGCAGAATAATTGCATAGGAGAGAAAAACATCCGATACTTTATGGCTTTTCTACTTTGGTGAGTATAGATGCATTTCAAATTAAAATTTGTTTCCGCTGTTATTTATCATAATAGTTATCTTCTATGGGATTAATTGAGGAGAATCTTGCTCTAAAAGGGAAATGTTGCTTTATGCAGAAGTTTGATTCAAATAGTCTAGCTTTGCTAGTAATAGCCTAGAAGATGACAGCAAATTCCTGTGAACAAACAGCTGCTTTGTACAAAGTGAGCACTGAGTCAAAGAGAAAGGTGTTTAGTAGATTCTCAATATTCTGGGCTTTGTTTCGCAGAAGCAAACATGAATATTTTTAATGATAACACAAGCGTTAGAAAATGGCTACTACTTTCGTTCTGAATTTTTTGGAATTTAATAGGGTTATCCTATCATTTATGACTTGAGAATTGATGTTGAATAGTTGCTAATGTTATTTCTCTCATTATTTTTTGTTTAGGCATGCTTGCAACTTGTGACCTCCTTGTCATAATTCACATGCCTTCTAAATTCACACAAGTTCTTCCCTTTAACATAGGGATGAAATTCCTCTAATTTTTTGAAGCAGTCTTTGAAATTATGTCCTTTTCCGACCTTTGGATGATGACGTCTCTCCTCAAGATGCTTTGTTTCTATTTCTTTTAATCATGGCAGGCACTTTTTGATCTGTTTGTATGGAGCAATTGTCCTTGGCTTGATTCTTGCTAGTCAGTTGAAAGAGCGAAACATTATTTACATATTAACGGGTATCTTATTGAACTACTCGATATTCTCATGGATGTTGTTTTGTCGTTTTTATTCATTCTTGGTCAATCACCTCATCATCTCATCATTTCACGTGATTTTCTTTTCGCAGTTTATTATGGCATTGAAAAGTCATTTTCTGGTTTATTTCCACATGTTGTGCAGGTAATGAAAGAATACCATCTTCTGAAAACATAAACATATTATTTCCATTCTAATAGATAAAACAGAACATGTAACTTTTGCAGTGGTTGCTGAGTTCACACAACACTCAACTACTTCTCATTGTGTTTCTATTCATCATCTCCTTGCTATTGGTTGGCTTCTTTGGATACCATGCCCATCTCTGCCTCACAAATACAACTACAAACGAGGTAAGTTCTCTATCCTTTAGCCCATCCTTTCTTAAGAAAAAGTATCCAGTGGGCCGGATCCATGGCATCAAACGTGCAACAAAGGGATATCAAGACGTAGATCGTTGTACCTGGTGATTTGCGTATCGATCCAAGGCTTGATATCCCTTTTGTTGTACAGTTAATGTCATGGACTGGATCCAGTGGATACTTTATGCTTCCCTCCTAACGCTAGTCTTAGCTTTATCTTAATGAAGGGCATTCTTCTTCTTGTGTAAATGAATAGACATATAAGTGGCAAGAGTACATAAGCTGGAAGAGAAAGGTGAACGAAGCCAAAGCCAGCGCTGCTGCTGTTAGGGCGAGCATAAATGCAATGAATAGAGAAGCAAAAGCTCAAGAGAGCAAATGGAGGTTATTCTTCCGTAAGTCTCCACTGCAGAATGTGGAGGTTGTCGTTAAAGATAATATATATGACAGGGGCATCTTCAGTAATATTTCTGAGATTGTAGTTCCTCTTTCAGAGAGACGGTCTTTTCTCCGAAAGAAAACCTCATAGACTTCTATGTATTGTTCATGTCTTCTTGTTTGTTCAACCTCATAGACTTCTATGTACTGTCCATGTCTTCTATATAGTGAAGTATATGGGAATGAGTTTCACCCCTCTTCTTTATGCTCATGAGGGTTTGATCTTTTAAGTGTCAATGTGAACTCTAAGCATATGAAGTTTGGTTAATACTGAAATCTATTTGCGGGTTGTGATTCTTATCCGACTAAGGGAAAGGAAAGGAGAATTGATACGTGACCATATCTTGGTTTGTGTTGGTTTACTGAATATTTGCTTGGCATTTGGCCTTTAGGTGAGAAAGAAAGCACAGGGAGTTACTTGAGACCTTAAACTTGTCCTCCTTTTCACTGACTTGAAGCTTTTACCAAATTGGAGATAATTGAAGGTGATGCGATGACTTGCGCTTCTTTTACCCTCTTTCTATTTATTCCATGCTTTCTTTTCTATCGGTTCACTCGATTTATTCAGGAAGCTGGAAGGAAGTAGATGTTGAATGAGAAAGGAAGATCCTTCTAAAAACATGGAGTAGCTAGTCATGTTAGTGTTGAGCATTTGAAACTTTAGAATATATAATTATAATCCTTACTATAACTTTGGAGTTTTGATGCAATGGTGTAGATCTTTGATGTGATATCCATGGAGAGTTTTTGTGTAGTCGCAGGGACCTTTTGATACTCCAAAGGAACAAATTCCATTAAAAAATAAACGTATTCAAATAACTCGGTGATCTAATGCCACATCATATGTTGATACTTGTTAATGCTCAGATCAGAATCACTGTTGAGTTTTATTGTGTCGGCATCATTGTGTCTTATTTTTCATCTAGTTAATAATTTGTAAAACGAGAAATGGAGGAGCTTGATTGCTTGAGAATGGTATCAACAAATTTGAGGAGTTACATCAATATTTATCCAAAATCAGCAGGCCCACACCAAGAGAGCGATAGGAAAATGATATGTTTTCAATTATAAAAAAAAAAAATCCTCTCTTCCTTCAATTCTGGTAGTTGCACTGATCAATCAGACAATCATGCGCTTAAATTCCATTTCCAAGCTCAAACTAGGGAGGTGGTAGTTGTAGACCTCAAGATCTTTAGTGTCAACCAATGCCTACAAGCAAAACCTTTCCATACTACAGCAATTGTCCACCTTATTCTTGAGATATGTTAATAATGATTAAATAATTAACTCACAACAGAATATGTCATTTTATCTTTGTATATCTTGAAGAATAAACTTAAAGATGCACTTTGTTGTCTGATTGTACGATCATCTTCCTTTTGGTATGACAACATTATCTTGCACCAGAATAGATAGTCCATTCGTAATAGATTAACACATTGTTTCAAAAAATTATATTAGTTTGTCTTGTTTTTTTGAAGTTTTTTACTTATTTCTCCAACTGTACTTCTTATCTTCTTCGTGATGTATATTTTTTTTCTTGCAATTAATAAATTTTTTGGGCATATTGCGTTTGTTACTTGAAAGTACTTAACCAACAGAGAAGTCATAATATCAAGATCAAGATGCAAATTTGGACTTTTAAGTTGTTGTCGCAGAACACACAGGATATTGAAGTGCAAGCATAGTAACGCTCTGAAGAATTATTTTTCAATTTAACCATACAATTATAGATTTGACTTTTCCCCTCCTTTATTTTGAGTATATAGTCTAGCCTTCGACATGTGACTTGTATATTTTGAGGCTTTTTGAACCTACGTTCGTCTAGTACTGTTCACTGGACATTTGTGACACGTTAAATTATCTAAAAGCTTTCTAGCCTTCAAAATGTAACAACTTCAAGAACTTACGCTTTTGTTTCTTACCTAATCGATAGTTGTTTTTCATAATTATGCAGTGTTCAAGTTGGACTCAACTTGCACATACCTCAAACTGCCAAGCTTTCCAACCTCTATGCTTTAAAACAATAAATATCACGAGCTTTTGCTTCCGCGAGAAATCTAGCATGTGATATTCTACTCCCTACTTTGCGTTATAATGATTGGACTTAAAGCAACCATGATTATTTCAGCCTTAAATTGTTTCTCTAATGGAATATGGGACCAATTTGATAAATGCATGGCTTATAGATTACTCCAATTCTAGTGGTTGGGGGAGGCTAGGCCTGTCCAAAAAGCCCGCGGGCCCGGGCCCGGCTCGGAGCCCGGCCCGGGCCTGGCCGGGTTCCGGGCCCGGGTTCGGGCTGCCTCAGCGGCGCCCGCCCGGAACAGGGCGGCGCCGCGGCAAAAATCCGGCCGTAGCCAGCCGGGCCCGGACGCCCGGCCCGGCGTGGCAACTGGTCACCATTGGTGACCGTTGCCGCCACAACGATCATAAGAGTGACCGTGTGCTGCTGCAAAACGGCCGGGCCGGGCCGGGCCGGGCCGACCCGGCCCGGCCATAACGGCCATAAACGGTCTTTTGACCGTTTTGTCCCCAAAAACGGTCAAAAAATGGCTATTTTGTGAGGTTATTTTGGTCATTTGCTTAGGGGGCTGGTTCTATAAATAGAGGGGGGTTTTATTTGTTTTCTCCACACCAAAAGTCATCTACTTCTCTCTTTTACTCTTATACTCTCTTATACTCTTATACTCTCTTATACTTTCTAATCCTTTCATCAAATGGCTTCCGGATCTGATTATGAAGAGCAAAACCTATCTCCCGATCTTGAAATGAGTCCTCCTACTGGGTCTACTCCTACCAAAGTTAATCCCGAATCCGGTGGCGACGAATCTGCACTAAGAGCTCCTAAAAGGCCAAGATCCGATGTGTGGAATTTTTACGAGAAGATCGATGTCACCAAGGATGAACACGATAGGATCATCACCCAGAAGGCTAAGTGTGCGTTGTGCGGTAAGATTTTTCAAGCTCATCATAAGAGCGGCACCAACCACCTCAAACGCCATTTAGATAAACACAACAAAGGCCAGATCCTCAAGGTGATATCCGACAATCTATGATTTCTTAATCCTCCTCTTCTGATAGTCTCGGTAGTTGGAACTATGACGCTGCCAGAGCCAGAAAATGCGTAATCAGGTTTATCATTCTTAAAAACATTCCTTTTAAATTAGTAAAAGATGATGAATTTGAAGATATGTTTAGAGATGGTTTTTATCCTGCATTTAAAAAAATTTCTCGTCAAACCTGTCAACGTGATATTTTAAAATATTATCAGGAGGAACAAGGAAAAATAATTTCTTATTTTAAAAATTTAAACTGTAAATTTTCTTTAACTTCTGATATTTGGACATCTAGAGCACAAACTGGATATTTATGTATCACAGCACACTGGATTGATGAAAATTGGCAAATGTTTAAAAGAGTTATTTCTTTTATTGCAATAGAAGAGTCACATACTGGTATTAATGTTGCAAATTTAATAATTGAAGAACTTATGAAATTAGAAATTTCAGAAAGAATATTTTCTCTTTCACTAGATAATGCAAGTAATAACAATGTAGCAGTTGATTTTATCAGATCAACTTTATCATTGTCATGTCATGGTGATCTTTTTCATATTATGTGTATCTGTCATATTTTAAATTTAATTGTTCAAAGTGCATTTACTGAAATTAAACTCATGATAGAAAAGGTTAGAACAGTTGCTTATATGCATAATGCTTCTGAACAAAGACTTAAAAGATGGAAACAATTTTGTAAAAGAAAAAATGTAAAGCCTAGACTAATTCCAAAAGATGTTGACCATAGGTGGAATTCCACCTATGCAATGTTAAGTGTAGCAATAGAATATAAAGACATTATAACTGATTTTATAAACTATTATGCTTCTAGTTCTAGTTCTGGTAGCACTTATGGAATAACTGAAGATGAATGGACAATTATATGTAATTTAAATGAAATGTTACAAGTTTTTTATGATGCTACAATGTTATTATCTGGCTGTTATTATCCAACCATTACTTTAGCTGCTTTACAAATTTTAAATATTCAAATTTTTTTTGGGAAATTTCGTATGGATGATACTTTTGGACCTATGATTTTTCAAATGGAGAGCAAATTTAATAAGTACTTTAGGCCTATTCCTCATATTTTTGGTTTGGGGGTTCTTATTGATCCATGCTTGAAGGATATTGGCCTTCGAAGTTTGTTACAATCCTTGTATGGTAATCAGATTATAGACTTAGATGATGGAACCACCCTTAATGCTACTATTCATCATTTAGCTATTAGAAATTATTTTCAAATCTTATATAATGAGTATGCAGCTAGACATGGTGTAGCTACACAACAGTCTACAACTTCGGTTTCTTCGAGCTCATCCCGAGGTAAAAGTGTAAGTTTTGATAGGTATGCAATGGTAGCTGAGCTAACTGGTGGATCTGGACTTGGATCGTCATCATTGAAGGTTTCTGAAATAGATGAATATTTATCTGCTTCTTTAGTTAAAATCGTCATCATTGAAGGTTTCTGAAATAGATGAATATTTATCTGCTTCTTTAGTTAAATGTCAAGGAAACGCTTTAGATATTTTGCAATGGTGAAAAGTATACGGATCAGTTTCATATCCTATACTTTCCACCATGGTTCGTGACTTACTAACAGTGCAGGTTTCGACGGTAGCTTTGGAATCCGCCTTCAGCACAACAAAACATTTGATCGACGACCACAGGACATGCTTAGATCCGTATACTGTACAAGCGGTGATGTGCTTACAAGATTAGTGGAGGTACGAGAAGCGAACGCAAGGCATCGATCGGATGGCTGGAATTGAAGATAAATTTGAAGAATTGGGACTAGCAGATAGATATAAAGAATAAATAATATTAATCAAATTATAATTTTTATATCTTAGCTTAAAATATGTAAAAAATTATTTTAGAAATAGTTACAAATAATAGTGATATAGGTGAGTAGGTGCCAACCTAGTTGGGATGTACTTATCTATTGTGATACGATGAATTCCAAAATAAATTTGTACTTGTAATTTGTAAATGATTTATTAATTATTAATAAAGAATTTGTTTTTATTATTTTTTATTTGTAATTTTCCGGGCCCGGGCCCGGACCGGCCCGGATGGACAGGCCTAGGGGAGGCACAAAGGGTAGGCTAATAATGGACATATCTTCTATAATTGAAGAGTGTAAGCAAAGGACAAAGGACTTTGAACTAGTAGGCTCAATTTTTCATTTGTTCACATGAAGTAAAAAGATTAAAAGAGAGAGAAAGATATATATTCAAAGAGCAGAAGATTTTCTTTGATTTCTTTGATACATGTGGATAGCCTACGTAACACCGACCCATGTTTCTTTTAATGAGAATTGAAAAGAGAAAGCAAGAGATGATAATTACTTTCAGCGTCTATCATCATAGCAAGCGTCAAATATATTCTTAGCAAGATTCACACTGTAAATGGTGTTCAAAGACGTCGATAGATAACTTGCTAGTGATCTGGTTCAAAACAAGGCAACATTGTATTAAGAGACATTTTTCATCTTCTTAGTTCTTAAAAGAAAAAGAAATTTCCGGGTAAATAACAGGTTCTCCTTAGTTATTAAAAAAGAAATTTAAAAAGAAAAGGCAAAAAAACCTACAAAATAAACTGGTGTATAAGCCCCATAATTTATCTCCTTACTAGATTACCATACAAAAGTATGTCAGACATTCTTAAGCATCCGTCAATCTCATAGGTAAATCAAACATATTCTTTGGTTCCGTTACAAATTGTTGCAATAAACATTTCGACATCATTTATGAAAAAAAAAACGAAAAAATGTATGTACACGTATGACTACCGAAAATATCTATTTCAATATCAAATCCAAAAAACTATTCGATGTTATTGATGCACAAATAGACTGTCTACTTGATATAACTCAATTTTACTTGTACAATTCAAGTAAGTAAAATCCCGGTGCTGATTAGCTGCTTTGATTTGGTACGGTTGGAGGGGCTTTTCTAAATACATGTTTTCTACACCGCTGGAAGATGCTATCATATAGAAGATCAAACTGAACTCCTGCTCTCTCTCGATTTATAACAAAAAAGATGTGATCGGCTTCAATAATCTTATAGTACCTGAAAAATGAAGGAGTATTACCAAGCTTAGTGATGAACACTATCGCTTATGCCAGATAAGTTTTCACGAAAATTTCAGGATAAATTTTGCAAAGATGAAGTTAATGAGTGACTCAAAAAATCAAATGTTTATTCACTTATGAAGAATAACATTAAATATTAATGACAGTGTAAAGTGAGTTCATACCAGATGCCCGGTGTCAAAGGATGGCATTCTGAATCATGATGAACAAAGTGACTCGGGTGTTCACTTGGTAGACGAGGGTGAGTCATTGATATCGTATTGAGAGCACCATCATTATCTTCCCAATCTTCATCCCTGTTACAATTTCAAAATACCCTCACATCAGTATCCCTCAGAAGTACTCATAAAAGAACTTCATGGTTTGTATCACAAAAATACTCACCTATACCCTTTATAAGGTAGTGATACATTGGAGGGGTATCTCCATTGGCTCATCTGCAAAACTCGAAGAAAGAGCATAGGATGGATTCCTAACAAGCTCGAAGGAACTGTGAATCCCATAAACTTCCTTGTCCTCTTAGTTGCATAACTGAAATAAAATGTACTGGGAAAAGTACGAAGATTCGAATTCAAATTCATAGAGCCTTGTATTGTAAGATCAGGAAGAATCCAATCTCCTGAAGCAAATGGGCCACTATTTCCTAAGAGAAGATCGACAAGGCCCAAAATTCCAGTCTTTCTCCATCCCATTTCATAATGATCAAACCCAAAATTGTAGTAATTTTTGAGCCATGATATATCGAGCCAGTCGTAGACGATGACTCCTAGTCGACAGAGCTGAAGAAGGCATATTGATTTCATTGATCTCCCATCATCAGTCGACAGAGCTGAAGAAGGCATATTGATTTCATTGATCTCCCATCATCTGGCCTAAAGAAAGCCAATATTGATCAAATTTCATATTGGGCATATTGATTTCATTGATCTCCCATCATCTGGCCTAAAGAAAGCCAATATTGATCAAATTTCATATTGGAAAATAAATCAAAATTCAATAATAAAAGCATGGGACTTCAGTTTACTCACTGCATTCCATCAAAATATGTTCTTGTAGTTCCATTTAGAGCTCCACTTAGAGAAGTGACACTCAATACCCAATCCTCATTAGTGTTGTCATAGCCTTCAAAGGTCTGTATTCAAAATATAGTCAATGTATAGCTCAAACTTAACACTCTGAACTCTGAAAATAAAAAATGGAAGAAAAATGTGTGAATTTTAGTACCTTATCGGCTAGCATTTGCTGCAATACTCGAATAACTTGAGCTCCAGCCGAGTGCCCAACGAAATGAATTGGATGGTGCTCATCCCATTCAGGATAATTCCCTGAAATCAGGCCTTAGCTCAGCATTATTCAAATACCCATTTTAATTAACACTGTTAATTTTTATTTTTATTTTAAAATGGCATAGGCCATGTTTGACCAACTTTTGTGTTCACTAACCTTGATCATAATTTCTCCCAAATCTCGAATGCCCACAAATTCTGCTGTGCTCCTCTCCATAATCCACCTTCCCTCCCTTCAAGTAATAGAACAATTCGCGCGCCCTGAAACCATTAAAATCTTAAATTTCAATTTGTCTTATTAATCCCCCAAAACCGAATTATACATTTGAAAACATCATTAAAACAAAAAAAAACCCATCCTTGTAATTTGAAAAACAAGACATTTCAACAAAAAAATAACAGTTATCATCATCATACCTATCATGTATGCTACTTAATGAACCCAAATCAGGCACAAGAACCCTGTCATCTTTCTTCTCTGCTCCAGCAAAATAAGAAAGCCCTCCAAGCCTCTGAGAACCCAAATCACCAAAAGAAATCCCAAATTAAAACAATGTCACTAAAATCACAAAAAATGGAACAAAAACCAGATCAAAATCCATACCCCTTTCCCAAATCCAAAGATCCCGTGGACCAACACAATGGGAGGCTGCGCTGGAAAAGGTGAAGAACCCTCCAAGATTGAATCTTTTCTTTTACCCACCTCCTCTTTTAGTCCCACATCGTGATTCATGGGCTTAAACCCCACTGTAAGAGATTGTGACAAGTCTGAAGCAACTGCGGTGCTGAATATATAAAACCCAAATAGAACATGAACTAATGTGCTCACGAAGAGTTCTGTGAGGCCCAGAAACCCAATAGAAAGCTTTCCCATTTCCTCCTCTTTCTCTCTCTCAATGAAAGAGGAAGAAGAAGAAAGAAATGGGTCTCAAAGTTTGAAGTTCGGTGAGAAATGGGTACAAATATTGAGGTTGGTCACAAAATTCTCATGAGAATGCAGGGAAAATACGCAGCAATTTGATTGGCTTTGGTGTCCCCGACTATCTCTATCTTCTCTTTTTTATAATTAAAAAAAAACAAGAGAAGGAAAAAAGGGTTCTCTCCAATGATTTTTATTCTTTTTAAACTCGTTTTTTATGGAATTTAAATATTTTTTTGTTAACAGCAAAGATATATCCATAATAGTTTATAGTTGTAACCGTCATGTTTTATTTTAATTTATTATTATCGTGTTTAACTTAAGACAGATCAATTTACGAAGTAAGCCCTGTATTGTCTATTTATAGTGCTAATTTTGTCAATTTTTAGGAAAAAAACAACTTTTTTTTTTTTTTGGGGGGGGGGGGGGGGGGGTTGGGGTTCTAATTTTGGTAGGACAAAGGAAGCTGAGTCAAAAACAACTATGCAATGATTCACCTGATCTTATCCACACAGCTAATGAGGTTAATAACTAAGCCAAGTCAATTCCTATAATCTTCCCATGTGCACTGGGCGCTTTTTGTTGTTGTTTTGTGTTTATTTTTTTAAGGGTTTAGTAATCCATTGGTTTGATTTTAGTACTTTCTTTTGGACCCATGGGTTTATTTTACTCTTATTGTTGTTGGTGGTGTCTAATGATTGTAATTATGTATGTGTTATAGTTTAATTAAAATCAAGATTCAGTTTCAATTTTCAATCACGTCTTTTTATTAATTTCTCAAAAAAACATAAATAGCCAGATGAGATGTGAGTTTCATAATATAGTTTTTGCAAGAGTCAATTTGAGTTCAATATTAAAAATATTCAAGCGGCTTTTAATTTCTATTTATCACGGTAAAACAAATATCATTCACTTGAGCTATGCAATTAACTTAGGTTAAAGAAATTATTATTGAAAAAAGAAATGTTAAAAGAAATTATTATTCAAAAAAGAAATGTTCTTATTTTCAAATCACGTCCTGTATGAACTTTTTTTGAAAACTTTTGTGACTTGGTGTATATTTGGTTGGAAAGTTCTTTTCCCCTTCTAAATTTAGAAATTACATTATCCAAATGTAATAATTATGAACTTCATATCAAGAGGATGAGGTGGCATTTTAATTGATACTTGGATAATCTAATCCCTAAATTTTGGTGATCCTAGATTGTTGTAAATTTGCTTAAAACTTATCCAAATTTAGATTTTACATTATCCAAATCCAGCAACTTTAATATTAGGAGGATAAGGTTGTTTTTTCAGTTAACACTTGGGTAAATTAATCCCCATTTTTGGTGATTTTTGTTTTCCTACCCAAATTATAAGTAAAAAGAACTAACAAAGCCAAACTCTTTTTCTTTTTCTTTTTTCCGTAGCTTCTAGATCTGGACGACCATCTTTTTCTAAGCTCACGTGAAATTAGATCCCTTAAATGTTATAATTTACATTCACATGATTTCTTAGCTTAATTACCATATTGACTTTGTATTTTTTTTCCCTGGGTTCCCCATTTACTTTATCTCAAGTTGGAGGACGGTGGATCTTATTTTGGATTAGAAATCTCTCTGACATTCCCAAAGGATCTCTTTCAGCTATGTCTCCCCGGAGGACGACAGCCTTATGGGGGGCTACATAGTCACTGAGATCATTGGCTGTCAGATTTCAGAACGCGCCTTCGAGAAGCCAGAAGTGAAAAAACCGCGAGAAATTTCGATGAAGAACAGGTGTTGGGATCCGCAGGAGTCAGTTTGGGAGCTGTGCGATCGTTCGCGGCGCAGGGCCGGTCGATCGCAAACGTGCACAGACTCTGGGAGGAGTCTGGATTTGGCGCGGTCGACCGTGAGACCCTGTAGGCGAATTTGACCTCTGTCGTTTGTCACGGTCGACCGCCGCGGTCGACCGTCAGACCCTGTAAGAGTTTCCAGGTTTTGTTTGTTAGTCGCGGTCGACTGTGGCGGTCGACCGCATAACGGGTCAGGCCCATAATTGTTTTCCTGTTCTTATTTGGTTTTGGTGTTTGTATAAATACCAATACACGTTCTAGGGTTTCTTAAGGCAAGAGTTTGGGATATTTGGAGCACAGAAAAGAGGTATTTTCTGAGCTATGTGATTAGAGTTTATTTGGAGAGATTAAGGGCTTTGTTGGTGAGATTAGTTTGTTCCTTCGAGTGATTTATAATCTCAAGTTGTACTCTTCTTCTCTATTAGTGGAAACCTCATCCCCTTCTTACCCCGTGGACGTAGACAATTGCCGAACCACGTTAAAATTGATGTTTTGTTTGTGCATTGTTATTGGTTGGTTTTGGCCCTCTTTGATCGGCGTTTGGTTTGGTTCCTCGACACAGTTTTCAACCACAATTGGTATAAGATCCCAACAATTGGTATCAGAGCTCGGGCTACGCTTGGGCTATTTGGAGGAGTAGATCGATTTGGGAAGCTCGTCTAGGATTTCAGTTGGTGAGAAAGGTGAGATCTTTTTTGGTAAAGCTGCTTTCTTTTCTTAATTTTGGATCTATTCTTCGTTTGTTTCTGCATTGGTTGTTGGTGTGTTAAGGATTATGGCCGAGAAAGAGGGAGTTGAGGGTGGTTCTTCAGGTGTGAAGATTGTCCAAAGTTTGAGTACCCACTCGATGAAGATTGACGTGTAGAAGTTCAATGGCACTAATAATTTTGGACTTTGGCGATGCGAAGTCTTGGATGCGCTCAATGCGCAGAATTTGGAAGATACGTTGGACTTGGACGGGAAACCGGACGACATTGATGAGAAGGTTTGCAAAAAGATGAATCGGACAGCGTGTGGTGTGATTAGGTCTTTGTCTCACTCAAGATCTAAAATATGATGTGATGAATGAGACTTCAGCTAAGAAGATTTGGGAAATCCTAGAGAGCAAGTACTTGATGAAGAGCAGAGGAGGCTTTATCGCTTCCAATTGAAGAAGAGGACATCCATTAGTGATCACATGAACCACTACACGAAGCTTCTTGCAGATTTGGCGAATGTAGATGTCATTGTTGAAGATGAGGACAAGACGTTGCTATTGTTGAGTTCCTTGCCCGGCGAGGAATACGAGACGTTTGTCCTTACTCTTATTAATGGGAAGACATCTCTTTCATATAGTGAGGTCACCGCTACATTAGTGAACTACCAACTTAGGAAGAAGGACAATAAGACTTCTATTGAGCCAGTAGCGAGAGCATTGGTTGCAAGAGCAAAGGGTCCAAACCGAGGTAGAAGGTCACAGTCTAGAGGGGCACATCTTAAAATTCGTAGGAATCAGTGTGCTTTTTGTAAAGAAGATGGACATTGGAAAGCTGAATGTCTAAAGTTGAATGATCAAGCCGGGAAGAATAAGGGAAAAGCTACTCAGGCTTCAAAGGTGAATGTTGTCAAGGCTAATGGCAACGATTCAGATTCGGATTCTTCGGGCTACTCATTATCTGCACTGCCGTCAGTTTGTGTTACCTACTCTACAGAGTGGATGTTGGACTCGGGTGCTACATACCATATTTTCCCTAAGAGAGATTGGTTCTCCAGCTTTCAGGAGTTGGAAAGAGGGGATTTTGTGCTCATGAGTAATGATCATGAATGCCCTATTGGTGGTATTAGCACCGTTCGGATTAGGATGAGTGACAGAGTGATTCAGGAGTTGGTTGGAGTGAGGTTTGTTCCTCAGTTAAAGAAGAATATCATTTTACTTGGAGCTTTGAAGGCAGCAGGCTATAGGGTGACCTTGGCAGATGCATGTTTGAAGGTTACATTTGGATCCATGATTGTGATGATGGGCGTCAGAAGGAGTAACTTATACTATTTGCTTGGGAGCACGGTGATTGATAGAGCTCTGACGACTTCATTGGATTTGGCTAGATTGTGGCGTAGTTTGGTTCTGGGGTATTTGATTGGTGATGCCGTGCATAGGTTATTGAGGAGTGCTTTGACCTGCAGATGGAAGTTCTTTGAGAACATTGGGATGAGCAAGACTGTGGTGGAGTTTGACACTTCTATCCATCGAGCGAGGGGTCTTTTAGGAGGTGTTCAGTCAGACATTTGGGGGCCTTCCAAGGAGACATCATTGGGAGGTAATCGTTTTGTAGTTTCCACAGTTGGTGGTTGTTTTAGGTATTATTGGGTCGCGACCAGTTCCCATTGTTGTAAAGTCCTAGAAGTCAACAACAATTGGAAGAAGTGTATTGGCAGAAAGGTAACTCGATGTTCTAGCTATGGTAGGGGTCATTTCTTACATTTGTGCGGAGCTCATGGCAACTTGAAACACTTCATTGATGTGGAGACTTTGGGGCGACGAGATGAGATGACAGTTTCGATGGGTCGTTCCTTTCTGGAGGAGGATCGGCGTTGGTTATCGAGCATTGGTTCTGGTTCTGGAGTTTCGACATATTTGGGTCATCTTAGTCATAGGTCGCCGACTGCTGCATTAGGAGTTATTGGATCTGGTGGAGCTACTTTAGATTTTGGTTGGCGTCAGATATCTGGTTACCCAGCATTTGGTCACATCGAGGATGTGAGATTTGATCCGATTGCGCGTTTGGGATTCGGAGGTTCATTTGATTATCGTTTGGGAGCTTCTAATTTTGTTCTGAACAGGAATGTCACTTTTGACTCTCAGCAGGTGGAGAGTGTTGATCAGTTCATTTGGATATCGCATCAGGTGGAGGGTGATGCTACTTCACATTGGGTGAAACTTATTCCAAATACTCCAGATCATACTGCGTCATTTGGGATTCCAACTAAGGTGGCACATGCAGATGATGGATTGGCTTTGGATTCGGTTGCAGCTGGTGGACATGTTTTGAATACGGCCATTGGTTCACCTTAGATGGAGGTGTTTGATTTGTATCAGTTTGGGGCCGCTATCAGTTACAGATCCGTTAGCGATATTAGGGAAAAGTTACAGACTTTTCTATTTGATTGAGGACCTTTGGAGGCCGTTTGGGTGAACTACGTGAAGGCTAGATTCCTTGAGCAAGAGGATACGTAGACAGTCTTTATGATACAGCCGATTTGGTGAGTAGATCCGACGTTTGGGTGAGTGTTCGCACTCCCGTTTGGGTCTCGACTTGTTGAGGATTAAGAAGCAGCAAGTGAGGCATTTGGCTTGGTTGGTGTCGGCTC